GGACCAGGTGGCCTACATAGTCACCTGGGAAGACTTGGCCCAGAACCCCACATCTTGGGCACGGCCGTTCCTACCTCCTAGGGGAACTGGAGAGACAGACCAGGGGCCTCCTACCCTTTCTGCTCCCCTGAGTCTCACTTCTTCCCTCCTGCCCCTTCAGTCTGCCCCTGAGAAGAAGAAGCAAAAGCCAGTCCTCCCTGAGGACCAAGTTTCCCTAACCCTCCTTGATCCTCCACCTCCCTATCCACCTGCGCAGGCACCTCCACCCCAAGAATTACCTTATCCCTCTCCTGATTCCACTGAACCTGACAAATCCCCTCCTCTACCTAACAGACTCCACTTAAGGAGGGATAGAGGGGGTCCCTCTGATGGAACCTGGACTGCCCAGGTTTTTCCTCTCCGAACTATAGGGAATCAGATCCAGTACTGGCCTTTTTCAGCCTCTGATTTGTATAACTGGAAGACTCATAACCCCTCTTTTTCTCAGGATCCTCAGGCTCTAACTGCTTTAATAGAGTCTATTCTCCTCACCCACCAACCCACCTGGGAGGATTGTCAGCAACTCCTCCAGGCCCTTCTAACCACAGAAGAAAGATGGCGAGTCATCCTGGAGGCCTGGAAAAATGTCCCTGGGCAGGATGGGAGACCCACTCTGCTCCCAAATGAAATACATGCAGAATTTCCTCTGACCAGACCCAACTGGGACCCTGAAACCGTGGCAGGTAGGGAGCGTCTCCGTCTTTATCGCCAGACTCTGTTAGCGGGTCTCAAAGGGGCCGGAAGGCACCCGACCAATTTGGCAAAGGTACGTGCTGTAATTCAAGGAGAAAATGAAACCCCCGCAGGGTTTCTAGAACACTGGATAGAAGGATATCAGATGTACACCCCTTTTGATCCCACAGCCCAGGAGCGTCAGGCAGATCTTGTTATGGCCTTTATAGGGCAATCAGCTCCTGACATTCGTGGTAAGCTCCAACGGCTGGAGGGTCTTCAGGGGTACTTCTTACAGGACTTAGTAAGAGAAGCTGAAAGCATCTATAATAAGCGAGAAACTTTAGAAGAAAGAGAGGACAGAATCAGAAAAGAGCAGGAAGTTAGAGAAGATAAGAGAGAGAAAAAGAAAAATAAAGAATTAAGTCAAATTTTGGCCACAGTCATTCAGGGAACAGGACCAGGACCAGGTAGGAACCTGGGAGACAAGAGAAGGCCCCGAGTGGATAAAGACCAGTGTGCCTATTGCAAGGAGAGAGGACATTGGGCTCGAGAATGTCCAAAGAAGCTGAACAGACTTCAAAAGAAAATAACCTCAGTCCTGACTGTAGGGGACTAGGGAAGTCGGGGCCAGGAGCTCCCCCCTGAGCCCAGGGTAACCTTGAAGATAGGGGGGGCAATTGACTACCTTCATGGTAGACACAGGAGCTCAGCACTCGGTCCTAACAACAACTGAGGGACCTATGAGTTCCAAAACAGCCTGGGTCCAAGGGGCCACCAGAGGAAAAACATACAGATGGACCACAGAAAGAAAAGTGGACCTCAGCACAGAACAAGTTTCCCACTCATTCCTATTGGTCCCTGACTGTCCATACCCTCTTCTTGGGAGAGATTTACTCTCTAAGCTGGGAGCCTACATCCACTTCATTACAAAGGGAGCTACTGTAAAAGAAAAGGATGAAGCCCCACTACAGGTATTAACCTTGCAGCTGGAAGATAAACATCGGTTATATGAGGGACCGATAGCAAAAATTCCTGGTATATCTGATTGGCTAAGTAAAATCCCCACGGCATGGGCCGTGACAGGAGGCCCAGGACTAGCACATAACCAGCCTCCAATAGTGGTTACACTAAAACCATCTGCAACTCCGATTTCAATCAAACAATACCCTATGAGCAAAGAGGCCCGAGAGGGAATCAAGCCTCACATCCAAAGACTTTTACAAATGGGCATACTTCATCCTTGCCAATCCCCTTGGAATACCCCATTGCTCCCTGTGAAAAAGCCAGGGACAGATGATTATAGACCAGTTCAAGACTTAAGAGAAGTCAATCGGAGGATAGAAGATATCCATCCCACTGTTCCTAATCCCTATAATCTTCTGAGTTCTTTACCTCCTAGTCATAGGTGGTATACTGTACTTAACTTGAAGGATGCATTCTTCTGCCTAAGGCTGAGCCCGGTTAGCCAGCCCATCTTTGCCTTTAAATGAAAGGACCCTAAAGCTGAAATATCGGGACAACTAACCTGGATGTGACTTCCCCAAGGATTCAAGAACTCCCCTACTCTGTTTGATGAAGCTCTACATCGTGACCTGGCTGACTTTCGGAGACACATGGGACCAGAGAAGACCTTACCGACCAGCCCCTAACAGATACAGATGCCACCTGGTATACGGATGGGAGCAGCTTTCTGAGAAACGGTGAACGTGAGGTGGGGGCAGTGGTGGTCAATGGGGAAAAAATAATTTGGGCCCAAAAGCCCTGCCGGCCGAAACTTCAGCCCAACGGGCTAAATTAAAAGCCTTAATCCAGGCCCTAAAAATTGGCAAAGGACAGAAAGGTCAACATTTACACCGACAGCCGCTATGCGTTTGCCACAGCCCATATACATGGGGAAATTTAATGGAGGCGGGGACTCCTCACCTCGGCTGGTAAGGACGTTAAAAACAGAGAAGCAATAGTGGCTCTTCTGAAAGCCTTGTACTTGCCAAGAAAGGTCAGCATTATACATTGCCCTGGACATCAGCCTTTTAGTGTTTATAGACACTTTTTCAGGGTGGGTGGAAGCCTATCCCACCAAGAAGGAGACGGCTCAAACCGTGGTAAAGAAGCTGATTGAAGAAATCTTCCCCCGGTTCAGACTGCCCAGGGTAATTGGGTCAAATAATGGCCCAGCCTTCGTCTCCCAGGTAAGTCAGGGAGTGGCCAAAGCATTGGGGATTAATTGGAAATTACATTGTGCTTATAGACCCCAAAGTTCAGGGCAGGTAGAGAGAATGAATAGAACTATTAAAGAGACCTTAACAAAATTAGCTCTGGAGACTGGCACTAAAGACTGGGTTCAACTCCTACCTCTAGCTCTATTTTGGGCTAGAAATACTCCTGCTATACACGGCCTAATCCCCTACGAAATACTTTTTGGAGGACCACCTCCTGTCCTCAATGTAACCTTGTCCCCCTTGCC